CAAAATGTTATAGATTTATGAATTGGGTCCATTTAGAATCCAAATAGGGTTTCTAAGCCCAATATAGTTGAATTGGATGCTTATTGGTCCATTAGGCCCAATAAGGAATTCCTATCCCATAATGAACTTGAACCTGGATCTCTAGGGTTTTCAACTCCCCAGTTGACTATTTGGATACTTTGTGTAAAGTTTTGAACTTCACTTGTGAATCTTGATTAAGTGTGTGGTCATAGAGTGTACATAGTGTATGATATCAAGTTAGAGTTACAAGTATTATGATAGATGACGTTTACATGATGACAGAATTTCCTGACAAAAATGCCAGTTGTGACACATGTGCTGAAAGATAACACCATAATCCTAAGGGTCCTCGCTCTCTTCCCTCCCCATTTGATTTCAATTTCTTCTTGCCATGAGGTAAAAGAGTAACATTCTTAAATCTAGTTACATCCTATACCATAATATTTCATTTATTTTTTATCATGATTGCTTTAAATTATGTGGTTTGTAGGTTGGAAATAGGTAAGTAACAGTAGATGTCTGATTTTTAAAATGCACAACAACTGTTCAGATGGATTGCCTCAGTGAAACCAATCAAGTTAAGCTTATTTTTTTTCTTGACTTTTTATAAGAAGGATCAAATACATCAATGCTTCGTTATTGTGGTAGGAGTTTGTTGGGAGGTCTTTTAAGAGATCTCCAGGTCGAATCTCTTTTATTTTTGTTTTCTTCTAATGGGTTATAGTATTTTTACCATTAGTAGTATATGTTCAACAGTTTCATAGGTTCACATCTTCACTCAACTCCAACTCTCATATGTTAGAAGGTTAACATAAACAAACATGGAAGAAGGATGTGTAATGTCTTATTTTTTTATGATGATATACTAACATAAAATGATGTTTATGCATTAGAACTGATAAATATTCACTTTCTACTTTTAATTGCGTTACATACATGGCAACTATGATAAAACCATTAGATAGATCAAATGTGGCAATTGAAGTGAGTTTTGTTTCAGATAGAGCCTTTTGAGTTCACTTTAGCCATCTGTATTGAAGGTACGCTACATCTAATAAGATAAGTGTTCATGGTAAAAAAAATTATGGGTGTTTATTGCCTCCTTAAAGTTAATAGTATTTAGAATTTCGTTTCGAATAACTAGGTTTGAACATTTTCTTGAGAATCCCTATGGAGCTTTTATACAATCTTATGGCTTTAGTTTCATCGTCTGATGTTATGTTTTGGTCTCTGTTTTGGATCAATTTATATTTACATTGCATCTTTCATCCAGGTTGCAGCCTGTGAGAGAAACAAGATAGAAGGATGCAATATTCACCACACAATTTGTAGCAAAGGAGCCTTTAATATTCACTGGATTAGAGGTTTGTGTTACAATATTAGGATCTTCAAATCTTTACATTTACACAAATAATTCTTTTTCTGGATTAATTATTTAAGTGTTCATATTATTCAAAACGGATGATGATATGCCTCTTTACTCAATCCCTTGTAACCTTTAACGGAACATCATGGAAAAATTCTAAATTTGTTTTTATGATTTTGAAGTTAGTTAATAAAATCTTTAAATATTTTCAGCTCACAGTTTGGTCAACAAAGAAATAGACATATTTGGTATCTATGCTATTGTGAAGGTAATATTTTTTGTTATAAGTCTTTTTTCTGCTTGAATTAAAGATTACGAGTTTTGAGTTTTAGCCTGATTACCTAGATACTTACTTCTATAGTAAATTACATTTTTCATTTATTATCAGATACTTACTTCTATAGTAACTTACATTTTGGTAGATGAGCATAGTTTATTTTCGCAATTTTGGTCCCTAAAACTTTTCTCTTTCAATTTGTTTCATTAATTGAGGTTTTTAAAACCATTTTCGTCTATCTTCCAAATCAAATGACTACTTTTGGTACCTTACTATAGCTGATTTTTACACTTTGGATCCAAGAAATTGACAAGAGAACTTTTTAGGAACGAAAGTGTAAATTACTCTTTACTTTTCTTCGTCGGTGTAGTAACAAGTTAGGTCTAAGCCCTGAACTTGGTAGCTTTGCTGCTGCATTCATGAAGAAGAAGGGGAATCTATTTACAAACAAGGTCCTATTTCAGTTTGTGTAAATATAATATTAACATGAAAGAAAGATTTACGTCTAAGGTTACTTGATGTTAGAAGATATATATGTGTCACAGGCCAAGGGATTGGAAGTTTTAGAAGTGGCATTGCAGATCCAATACAACGCTGTTTTTTGTTGCTATTATTGCGCAGTTTGTTAAAGCATAACGTCCTTATAAGGAAAATTTTGTTGAAAGTACACCGCTATTATTGGGTAGAGTTAAATGTTTTAATAAGAAAAAAAATTGAAAGTACAATGTTGTAATAGAAGGGAATAGGAAGTACATTGCTATTTCTTGCATTTATGTCATTGGAAAATATGTTACACTTGATTAAAAAGTTATCCAAAAATGAATTGTTTCATTTTATGTTGTACAATAAATGTGTATCATAGACATTTTCTAGTCTTTCTTGCAGCCTATCATAAATAAATAAAATGTTCTCCTTAACATGTTATTGTACACACTTCATGACTAAAACAGTTCATAATTACATGCCTTCCAACCCCCAAAACAGAGAGTCTTCCGTAGTTTGTCTTATATTCTAGTTAATTTTGCATTGGAGTACCCATTTTGCAAGGCCCCACTTTAAACTTCAAATGAAAACGCTCTATGGGCTTCGGAGTGCCTTCTTTATTTGTAGCGGGGTGCTACAAAATTAGTGGTTATTGGGAAAATTTCCTTAAATTGTGTAGAAAAGTAGTTTTTTTTGTCATTTTTCTAAGAGCATCTTTAAACCATTCCCAAATTTCATTTCTTTTCTCTTATTTTGTCTTTCATTTCCTCCCATCTTACCCCATTTATGTCTCTATTTTTTTGAGATATAAATAGTATTCCTTCAATAACGAGGAACACCATTAATTTCTCTAAAAATGGAGTTGAAGTTTCAGCTGTCGATTTTGTCTCTCTTTTATTCTATACATTTCTTGTTATTTTTATCTAATGGTTATATTTTAATTTTAATATTTAATATTTATAAAATCTTGGTATATATTAAATTATATTAATTAATCATAAATATAAAAGTTAATACTTATTTATCGAATTCATATAAAAAAAATTAAATACATAATAAAGATTTGAAGCAGGGTAACATATTTATAAAAGCTTATAATTGAAATCGACATAACATAATGACTAGATGCATTATTTCACATAATATGGTAGTCGATGATGAAGGTGACCTTGACGTACTAATTGAAGTTACAAAAGAAGTGTTACCAATTGAGGTTGAAAGGACAATGGATGAAGACAGTCAATTTTAAAAAAAAAAATTTCGATTTAAACGTATTAAAAAATATATAGAATATATATTTGTTATAAATATAATCTTTTTTACTTAATAATTTTTTATAATAAATTAATAATTAATTCAAAATTTATTATATATATAAATATTTAATTTTATGATAATATAATTTATAATATTATTGTAATGAAAAAATATAGAATATATATTTGTTAAAATTTAATTAGTAGACGGGTGTGTTTGACAATATATGTAAGTTACAAAAATATAATATACTATAAAATATTAATATATTTTTTGTAGTAAAAAATATGATTTATTTACCTTTTTTTTTTACTCTGTTTATAAGAAGAAAAATAAAGATCAATTGGAAATGGTCTAAAAGCTTTAGCCTAAAGGCAAATTGGTAAAAAAGTTGATAAGTGAGGGGTAATGTGGTAAACGAGCTATTGTAGCCTGTAGGTCATGAGGTATAATGGGTACTAGTACGTTGTCGGTTAGCTCTATATTGTTATAGTGTGAAAACTAGTATTTTTGAGTAAATTCAAAATAGTTGGATATAAACAGTATCATCCCATTTGAAAACAGAAGAACGCAGATGCTGTAAAAGACAACAATGAAACAAAAATGAAACTTACTACTTGTAATCTTTATAATAAAATTTGAAAAACCCAAGTCTAAGAATTGTAAAAGTTGATTACTATTGAGTGAAATTATCCTAATATTCATTTGGTTAACACTTGAGTGTTTAAACCTCTTGATTTTTCTTGCTTATTTAAATATGTTTTTAATGTCCAATTTTTATACTTGAAACTTTAAAGGAAATAAATCTCTTTAGTAAGAAAAAAAAAAGATTAATTCCAATTTCCACAATATGAGCCCATTAACAAGTACACTAACCCAATATTACACAACCCAAACTCGATTTTCTAGTTATGTACACCGAATGATATAAGAGGTCACCTTTTAATGAGTCATTTTGATACAACAACAAATCAAAAGCCTCTAAATGATTCAGTTTTATCAAACATTAAAACTCTACAACATCCATGGAAACAGAAAAGTTAACAAAGTTAAAAGAAATAAATTGTAATAATTTCTTTTACAGAATTACATAATTTCAACCACAGCACGACCTATAATACTTCCCTTGTTTAAATCTTCATACGCTTTTCCTGCCTCCTCAAACTTACATTTTCTTGAAACAGCTGCATCAAGATTGAAAATCCCACTTTCTGCCAATTTCACAAGTTTTGGAAGATCATGTCTCGCTCTTCCTCCATAAGATCCCATTACTTTAATCTGTTTTTTAAATAATAATTAACATGTGTGTATTTTAATAAAAACAAAAAAAAAATTATATTATTAGACATACCTGTCTACGAACCAAATGGTTTATATCTATTTCACCTTTAGCTCCCGTGAGTGTAAGACCAATCATTACAGCTTTTCCACCATCTCTTACACTTTGTACACATTGCATAAATGTTTTTGGATTTCCCAATGCTTCAACACACGTGTCAACACCCATCCCTCCCGTTATTTCCTGTCCAATAATTTCAACACACGTGTCAAAACTATTGTTGTGAAAATAAGAAAAGAAAAGGATATATATATATATATATAATTTATAAATACTTTGATCCTTGAAACCGCATCTTCATTTCGAGCATTTACAACATGAGTGGCTCCAAATATTTTAGCTTTCTCGAGTTTATCATCTTGTATATCAACAGCGATAATCTCGGATGCACCAAATGCACGTGCTATTTGCAAACAACTGCAACAAAAACACCAAAAAAAAATGGTGGTGATTCTAATTTAAAGAAATAAAATAATTAGGTGTTGTTTCTTGATGATTTTAGTTGGGAACAATATTAAATTCGATAAGAAAGATACGACTTAATTGAACAATGCATCCTATTTTTTTGTAAATTTGCCCTAATTTACTTTTTTTCCCTTGGATTTCTCTAATTTTCCTGTCATTTTCTTAAGTATTTTTAAAACATTATTTAGAAAGAAAGGAAACAAAAGGCATTCTAAACTCTCTAACGACAAAACTACCCTTCTCGCTAAACTTATGAAACGACAAACGCACACAAGAAGGGTAAAATTGTAATTTTAAACTTTTAGCTTTCTTTCACTTTCTCTTCACCTTGAGAAGACGAAAAACATTTAAAACATACCACGTCTTTTTCCTTTATATCCAACTCAATAGCATAAACAAATTTATCATAGGGCAAAAATACTAAAAATCATTACATACTTTCACTATTTTACGATTTTAGCCCCTCAACTATCACTTTTTATCAATTCAACCACATAATCAGTTACCAAATCAATAAAATGATGGATGTATTTGATACAGCCTCTGAATAGTTAAGGAAGCCTAGCTTCTCTTAACCATTAAGAGGTTTGAATCATTCAGCACTAAATAATATTCTCTCACCTTGATCCTACACCACCAACACCAATTACAGCAACCGCATCACCAGGGCGGACTTGGGCGGCATGAGCCATGGCACCATAGGCGGTAAAAACCGCACAACCAATTACCGCTGACTCAGCATATGGTAATGTGTGAGGTAAAATAGCCAAAGCATTTGCGGGGACCACACTGTATTCAGCAAGACCTCCCATACTATACATATACACTGGTTTTCCTGCATACATAAATAATAATTATGTTAGCATAATAAAGTTATTAGGCCTTTTTTGGTTTGAAAAGAGTAATGTAATTTTCAATATGTTTGATTTAATTTAACGCACTCTTACCACTTCCACGGAGAAAAAGACGTGTTTCCCCATCATAGAGTGTACCTTTTGCACGATTATAAGCAAAAAAAGCTTCACATAAATCATCTTGACCCTGTTTTGCAAGAATCAAATGCACACACATAAACTTATCTATGTGTGCATATGTATATTTATAATATCATAATGAGATAATACGATTACAAGCTATGTTCACCTTAGTGCAAAAGAAGCAGTTACCACAAGGCATAATAAATGCACCCACAACACGAGCTCCCAAAGGAAGCCTATAAAATAAATATAAATCATCATGAGATAAAACATAATACAAATTCTCATAGATTTTTGGTAAAAAGAAATAAAATAAAAATTAAAAACCTTTCGATTGTTTTAGTGTCAGTCAATGGCCCATGCTCAACAACCTCCCCAGTGATTTCATGGCCCACAACACATGGTGATGGAAACGGGAGTTCACCCTTCATTACATGAAGATCGGAATGACAAACACCACAAGCTGAAAAAAAAATTAAAAAATTAAAAAATTAAATTATGCAAGAAATAGCAATGTAGTTTTATTGATTTGTTTATTATAGGATTTTACTTTCAAAGTATATAATGTCTTTATAAGAGAACCAAAATTCCCAAATTCCCAAACTCACATGATTTTAATTTTCAAGCTTTGTCAAATACTTCCCGAATTCAGTTACAAATTTAACTTCTATGTGTCATTTGATCATTCCTTCAATATTGATATATTTCAATAGTAAAAGATCCAATTAATCATGTATGAGAGTTCTCCTAGCCATAATTTCATATGAATCAGTAAATTTCTTTACTTATTCGACACATATACATGGTCAAAATTACTGCATTCCAACTTTTCGAAATACAAATTGACACATGCATATGATGATCTGGTCAAAAGTAAACCCCAAAAATTAGAGGAAAGGTTTAGGGCACAAATTTTCAGTGTTGTGCTACGGAAATCAGAAGAAAAATGCCTAATCGAAAGCAGAAAGGGATTGTTTTCTGATATCATACCTTTGGTTTTGATAAGCACTTCGTTGACTTTAGGGCGAGGCATTTCAAAATCTTCAAAGGTCATAGGCTTATTTGGTTCCCAGAAAACAGCTCCTCGCATATACGATGGTCCACCATTCAGGTGATACGATGAACTCGATATTGTTGAAAATGAATTTGTTTTTGGGTGATCTGAAGAAGAAGGTGAAGAAGGTGTCACTGATCTTCTCAATTGATTAGAATATAGCGAAGAACAAGTGTAATTTGTTGTTCTTGATCGAGAGGTATTGATGAGACTTTGGAGTAATTTGGTGTATTGATTGAAACCCATTTGAGTTTTTGATCTCTGTTGTTGTTGTTGATCGATAGATTGCAGTAGGAAGAGCGAAAATGATGGCCGGCCGTAGAAGAGCACTTGAACTAGTAGTACTTGGTAGTAGTTGGAACTTGGATGGGATGACGACGATGATTCAGATTCCTCATTATCTGAATCAACTCTTTTTCAATTTGACCTTTCTATGTTATTTTTATTTTATTATTCATTTTTCAAAGTTTAATTAAAAGTTAAATATATCCAAAATAATGACAAAATTGCAAAAAATGGTATATGTATTTTTTATGGGGGTTTTAGTTCAAACCTCAATTTTTTTTTGGCTTTGTGGTCCTTTTAAGCTAGTTTTATTGCGGATTTTGTCCCTTGGTAAACTGAAATAACTTTAATACCCTTGGGGTATTTGTTTTTCATTTTTCTTTCACTTTTTTAAAATCTAATAGTTATTTATTTATCTTAATAATTATTTTAATAATAAAAAAGAGGGGTCCACTTCTCTCTCTCTCTCTCTCTCAAAATGCACACACCAAACCATCACCGTCAACAAACACATCGTCTTCACATATTTCATGTATTCCTCGTCACTCATCTCTAGCTTCATCACACATTTTGTTTATCAAACTTCGAGCTACTTATACTACACCTTTTCTAATCCATGGCAATCAACTCTGCACTCCACGCAATAGGTAAATTCAACGTATCATGCTCTGCATTTTCGATTCTCGTTTCTTAAACTGATGCAGTATATATGTATCTACCTTCTTAACTTAACTTAACTTAAGTCTAACTTTCTTCTTCTTCATCGTAATCGAAATCGCAAACTGCATGTTATTGGAAAACGTGTTTCCGTAAAGGTAATTGAATATAACTAGTATTTCCTAATTTATCGAGTTTTCCCCAAATTGATACTGGACATTGTGCCTCATTTCGGTCCAATCGATTCTCTTTGACTCAGTATTCATTTCAGGTTTTCAGTAGACATTAGTATGATAGGTCTAAGTGGTTGATTTCAAGAGATTGTGGGTCCGATGATATTAATTACGATTGTGATAGACTTTGACGGAAAGAAGAAGAAGAAGAAGAAGACCCAAAAAAATGCGGTGAGGAACAGACCTGTTTTTTTCTCTCTGTATACACTTTGGCGGAAAGAAGAAGAAGACCCAATGTTGTTAATCGATTGAGAGCTACACCCGGTTCTTGATTTTATGGGTGTAGAAGCATAGAAGATTTGTTGATTGGATTTCTACAAAAGTTGTACTCTTTGTATTAAAGATGTGGAGGTGAAGAAGACAAGCATGAATCTGGAAGATACGGGGTGGTTGAGAGAGAGAGAGAGAGAGAGAGGTGGGTCCTCTATTATTTTTTAATTGTTAAAATAAATAAATAAATAGGGATGAGCATATGGACCGGGGAACCGGTCGGAACCGGTCCCAGAACCGGAACCCGATGGAACCGGTCGGCCCGGGACCGATACTATAATTTCGTCAATTTTTTGAACCGGGACCCGGTAAGAACCGGTCGTTGGAACCGGCCCAAAACCGGGAACCGGACCGGATAACTCACTCAAAGTTTGAAAGTTGCATAACTCACTCAATTTAACTTTTTTTGACCTGAATCTTTTTCCAACATGTAGATTATGATTTTTAGTTAGATTTAGACTATAAAAACGCTTGATTTGGTTAAAAATTGAATGGGTTACAAGCCCCGCAAGGAAGGGTGTCAAATCAGAATTTTTTTTATGTTTCAGCAATTAAATATAATCTGACTTTGTTGTTCAAATGTGCATAACTCACTCAATTTAACTTTTTTTGACCTGAATATTTTTCTACATGTAGATTAGGATTTGTAGTTAAGTTTAGACTATAAAAACGCTTGATTTTGTTAAAAATTGAATGAGTTACAAACGCCCCTCAAGGAAGGGTGTCAAATCAGAAATTTTTTTATGTTTCAGCAATTAAATATAATCTGACTTTGTTGTTCAAATGTGCATAACTCACTCATTTTAACTTGTTTTGACCTGAATCTTTTTCCTACATGTATATTAGGATTTGTAGTTAAGTTTAGACTAAAAAAACGCGTGATTTGGTTAAAAATTGAATGATTTACAAGCCCCGCAAGGAAGGGTGTCAAATCAGAATTTTTTATGTTACATCAATTAAAGGTAATCTGACTTTGTTGTTCAAATGTGCATAACTTACTCAATTTAAGTTTTTTTAACCTGAATCTTTTTCCTACACATAGTTTAGGTTTTGGAGTTAAGTTTAGACTATAAAAACGCTTGATTTGGTTAAAAAGTGAATGAGTTACAAGCCCTGCAAGGAAGCGTGTCAAATCAGACCGGTTCCAAAATCGAAAACCCGGCAAAAACCGGACCCAGAACCGGAACCGGTAGAACCGTCGGGGTGGTTGGGTTCTTGATTGTGGCCGAAGCCAGTTCCCGGGTCGGGCCGGTTCCGGCCAGTTCGGTCTGTTTGCTCATGCCTATAAATAAATATTAAATTTTTAAAAAAGGAAAGAAAAATAAAAAATAAATACCCTAAGGGTATTATAGTCATTTTAATTTTCGGGGGGACTATTTTCACATACAAACTAGTCCAAAAGGACCACGAAGCCAAAAAAGTCATGGTTTGGACTAATACCCCAAAAAATGCATACCACAGGGACCATTTTTGCAGTTTTGTCCAAAATAAACAATGATATTCAAAAATTCTCCTTAATAAATCAAATACTTTTTCGGACATGTCATTCTCTTCTTCGTTTGGACACATGATATTTTCTAATATTTTTTAATAAATGTTTTTTTCATTTGTCATTTTCTCATTTTTATCTTTTTTTAATTAACACATGACATTTACACCTCAATTAATAACTGCCTTAATTAAAAATAGTCAATAAATTACAATATTACAACTCATTTAGTGTATTTAATATGTTTCCTTTGAAATTTAAATTTTAAATTTTAAATTTCAAATTTAAATAAATTTTTGTTTAAACCTTCATATTTAATTTTTTGTTTTACCCGACCCGTATAATATACGGGTCTCACAACTAGTAATAGTATATGTAAAAAATCTATCATCTCTAAATACGACATTGTTTAACATATTTTTGTAGATAACATGTAACATTCTGTTTAAAATAAAATAAATAAAATAAAATAAGTAAATAAATAAATAATAAGCCCTAAACCCCCGAGTTTATTTTATATATTATTTTATTTTAGCCCTAATTCTGTAATAATTTATCAGTGTTAGCCATAAAGAGTTATATGATATAATTTCCAGAATTTGGGGTCTATATTGTAACATTAGGACTTGAAATGTAAAGAAATCCGTGAAGCAAGGGTTGTTTGGTAATTATTGGATTTAAATTGAAAAGGATTTGTGGAGGCAAGGAGCAATCCTGTACAAATGCACTGAAGTTTGAATTGGAGGCGAGTTAAACCCCGTCACCCTCCTATTGGCTTTCATGTAAACCCTAACCTTACATCACATTGCAGCCGCCACCCTTATACCCCTACCTCCAGCCGCCGCCATCTCCTAGCCACTGGTGTGCGTATTCCAGTGCATGTTGTATGTGTGTGTGTTTGCTTGGCCAAAAATCGAAAGAAAACCCACCACCTGATGTGTTTCGAGCAATACATCAATCCTATGGTGTACATGCAAACCCTAATAGCTTTGGATCTAGTTTGTCTAATGAACATGCAATTGATAATCCAAAGCCATAAACCCTAGATCTAAGAAACTATAACTGAAATTAGGGTTTAGATCTTACCTTTGATTGTTATATAGCAATAACAATCAATCCTTGGCTTCAGAAAGCTTAGTGTCTCAAGTGTTGCACCTCTAATGGAGTCACAAACACCACTAAGCAACTTGGATGAAGAGAGAGGAGAGAGGAGGCATCAAAAACGGCTGGAAACCCTAAAGGATTAGTTCACCACGTTTTTGGGGCCATAAGGGTTCCTTATATATGC